CATGTATTAGTATCAGTCCGAGTATCGGTGCATTTTGTACGGGTTTTTGAGTACTTGTAAAAATGCAGGTGCCAGTATCAATATCGTAACACCACTAGTGAAAATAGAATCGAAATAGAATAAAAAAACCTGCTCAACAAGAAGGTCTGATCTGTTTCAGTTCCACAGTAAGTGGGTGTAGGGGAATTCAGGGGGTCTCAGGTGAGTTCTGGGAGAATATCAACATGCTCCCACAAACTGCTCCTACACTGTGGGTTTAAATAAATGGCTTTTATTTTTGTGAATCAGGAACTGAATGCAAAAGTAAAACATCTGATTACTTTTTAAATAATTCTATTGAAGAACCCTTACAAAATACAAGAAAACATTAAAAGGAAGATGTCTTCACCATGTGTGTTATTGTTCTTTAACTGTAAATAAATAAATTCTTACTCTGTGAATTTAGTGATGCAATACAACAAGAGTCAGACAAAGGTGTCTTATTTGTAAAATTCACTCAAGTTTCTGTAGTTTTTGTTATCTTTGCTTTAGTTATGAGCAGGGTAATTTGATTTTTGTGCTTTTCTTGTTTGTCTTTTGCATTTAACATCTTGTGTTTTAGGTCCATTCCACAGAGGCCAAACACAGGAGGGTGTGCCTTAATTACAAAATTGTCACCCATGAGACTATTTATGGTTGCCTTTGGTCCTGAACATGTTGTTGTTTCACTATCTTGTTTCCTTTAAAAAAAAACTTTTACAGTTTCCAGTAAAATCTATCTGAATAAACTGTTATGTTACCCACTCCATGGAAAACTTGGTTTAGCATTTCTTTCAGACAGGTCAAATGTCAGAATGAAAAAAATATACAGACTTCTGCACAGAGTTTTAGTAAATAAAAGAAACAGATGAACTAAAAGAGTCATGACACATTGCACTCAAACAAAAACAGCTCCATAACACCACTCGCACCCGAAAATCCCCAGAGTCAGGACTCATATCGATTTCTTCATCTCACTCGTCAAAAACAAAAAAAAGCAAACATGTTGAACTCTTTCTGTGGGGATTCTGTTATCAGGGAGCAATCTCTTCATTTATCATGTTTTAGTCTCTCTTCTATGCAACAACATGATTACAACATCAAAACATTTGAAGTAAAAGGCCGAGTGAAGGAAAGCACATCGCCCGCCACATTTTGTGCCCAAGTTTTAAACTGAGACCAATTTTAGCTCAATATCTGTTAATTTAATCTAATGTTTCTAATGTTGATTAGCTGCTGTGGCCATCTTAAACTGGGTCAACTCCAAATCATAGTGTGTCCAAATATAGTTTCACTAGAACCTGTCCAGTTGTTCATTAGATATTTTGCAAATAGTATTGACACCAACAGTTAATGTTAAAGTTTTAATTGAAAACACCCCACAATAGTGGGGCACCGATTGCAGTTTTCTGCTCGATCATGATCTTTAAAAAGTCTGACCTGCTGATTCTGATTTTGGTCAATACAAATCTTTGAAATAACTGACAGGTTCAAGTTATAAGGTCACAATAAACTTCAATGTTCTAATCTTATTTTACAGAAAAACACTGAACAATACCTTTGAAACGACACAAACTTGTTTTAACTGGACATTAGTGCTCACAGCAGAGCAAAAGGTGACGGTGGCTGATTTTCAGATCTTTGTGGAGGAAGATGAGAAGCCKATCTTTTCCACCGATATTATCGAAGTATCAGCCGATCGCTGATCTCCCAGAATTAAGGAAATCTGTGCCGATGAATCGACGGGCCGATTTGCCTGCGCACCTCCCACCATGCAATGCATGCTCCACAACCACACCAAATTTCAGCTCAGTGAATATAGAAGTGGCTGAGTTATCGTTATTTCTGTGTTTCCAAAGGTTAGTTGGCTGTCGGCCATCTTGAAATGAGTTAAACCTTAATTAGCTGTAGACGTTCATCCAGTAATGTTTTTAAGAGTTTCACTAAAATCTGTCCAGCTGTTCATGAGATAAATATTGTTTTTCATCAGTGGCTGATTAAAAACAGTGTATTGCACACAATTTTTGTTTTTAAGGAAAATAAAGAAAATTAGAGAGTTGTCGCTAATTCATTTTTATAGGGTAAACAGATTTTTGACAAGAACAAAACTTGGATTAACTCAAGTTTTCTGTCGTGTTCTTTGGATCCGAGTTGTGACAGCCTCATCTCCGGTGTCATTATCTCCCGTTGCATTCCTCCTCAGCATCATTATTTTGGTTTCCTTGTCTTCCTGCCTTCTGCCTTTTCCCACCCACTTCTCGTCCCCCTGAGAAGCTGGCAGATCCCATCAGCTCCTTCCAGCTGGGAATCTGCTGCCCTTTGGTTTAAACAGCATAACCCTCCGTGTCCCATATTCCATGCACAAACAGGAAGCGAAGGCCTCACTTCTGAGGGAGGATGTTATGAAAGTGCTTATTTTCCAACAAGTTCCTGCATTTCGTAAATATACCCCCCTCCCTCTATTACACTGTGTCTAAAGAGTGTTTCTTCAACTCACTCTTGTTCTTTTTATTTGATTTTACAAAGCTCTTTCCGTAGGTATTTGATTCAGGCAAAACTTTTTTTGCACATTCTTCTCGTGTGGTGGAAAATCTCAGTGGACTTGGTTTGACTTCATGAGAAAAGTACAATTTAAACAATCCCTCTGGGTCATTTCTTCAGCATTTCCTCTTGTTAGGAGTGCTCAGATTGGGGCTTTTTCAGTGTCAGAGGAAATACTTCGATATTAAGTCGGTTTCAACACATTATGACATCCAGAGTAAGTTCATCTCTGTCCTGATGCGCCTCCAAGATCGAAAGTAATGTTCATGAGAAGAGACCGACAGGATTTGTTTTGATTTCAGCTCGTAGTGTACAATCTCAGGAGTTGGCAAAACCTTCGGAACATATTTTAGCTCGTAGTTTTGTTTTCTGCTTTGCGTGAAACAACAAACAAATACTGTCCCAGATGGCACCGATTTTGTTGTCATTGTTGAAAACATAAATACTGCGGTCCAACAGGGATCAGGGCCATTGGCGAGGGCTGGTGTGTTTAAAACTGTTTCCCCCCATGACGTCAGGATTAATGCATTTAATAGTTTATATTAAAAGTTCATGAATACAAATGTCTCTGACGAGCCTCTACAGTGGAGTTATGAGCTATTTCTGATTCTCCCCTCTAACAGCTGTGACCACAGAGCTGCACAGCTGGACCAGGAGGTGAAAGAGAAACAAAACCATTTGGAGCAGCTGCTACAGAGGGGGTTACAACTCCAAAATTTCCTTATTAAGGCATTTTCCCCATCAATACTCCCATATTATTTATAATCAAAACCAAAAAAAATGAAGGACACTCAAGACTACAATAAAAGGCTATTTCCCATCACTTGTATTTTATTGTGAAAGGCCTTTTCTAACAACAATTCTCAGCAGGAAAAACACAAATATTATAATAAAACAATTCCGTAAATCTCACCCTTGTCAGTTTTGAAATAAAAATATTAGTTTTAAAACTCAATTTTTTCTGCTTCTAAACTCAGGTAAGACAGAGGTTATGGTTTTTGGACCTGAACATCTTAGAGATCATCTTTGCAGCCTTTCACCTTCTCTGGATGGCATTAATCTGGCCTCCAGTTCTAATGTAAAGAAACTTGGTGTTATTTTTGGTCAGGATATGTCTTTTAACCCCCACATTAAAAATGTTACCAGGACCGCCTTCTTCCACCTGCGCAATATCACTAAAATTAGAAACATCTTGTCCAAAAATGACTGATTCATGCATTTATCACATCTAGGCTGGATTACTGTAATTCTTTATTATCTGGGCATCCAAAAAACTCTTTATGAATTCTTCAGTTAATCCAAAATGCTGCCGCTAGAGTTTTAATGAGAGTTGGAAGAAGAGATCATATTTCTCCAGTTTTATCTTCTTCCCACTGGCTCCCTGTTAAATTTAGAATAGAATTTAAAATATTACTCCTAACATACAAAGCTCTTAACAACCTATCTTTGGGGCCTATCTTTGGAAAAACTTGCTATATTTACAATTATTTAAAATGATGAATTTTGCTGTAAAACAGTAAACATAATAGTTGTGCAATCATAAAGTGGTAAAGCTGAGTGAGTGTGTTGCAGAGCTAATTTTGTTTTCCTAAAATAACTGCAATTTTTTAAATCTGGATTGTATGTTAGTTTTGGTTGACATATATACAGTATACTGTATATAT